AAGGAAAAAATTGATAAAGAAAAAAAATTTTTATTTAATATTAAATATACTTAGGCATTAAAATTAGGACAAAAAAATATTCAAATTCATGCATAATTAATAGAAAAAAAATGACAAGGCTTAGATTTCTAAAAGGTGTATCATCGGTCTCATTGTGTCAATGGAAGGGTATTAGTAAAATAACGCTTCATGATGCTTCTTGTTTTTTTTTTCATTTAGTTACTTTTACGATTCGAAATTATAAAGTGGGAGATTAAACCTGCACTAAACCACCTGTTCCTTTTCCTTTTGCTATCCGAGTGTGTGGAGTGTACCTGCCAACGCTAACGATGAATTGTTCTATTGCTATGGACATGATACGCCACTACCACTGCAAAGTGTCAGTGCTAAAATTATTTCATATCCGAGAATTTGTAGCTTGGCCCAGCTAAAATTTGATCCCTCAGGTAAGTAAGTCCGGGAAGGCCCCAGCCCCGCCGCCTGGGACTGGGTTGCGACACCATTGCATTCAATAATTCACTGCGCGAAAAGTGAAAATCGTTAGTCATGTGCTTATACTTTAAGTTAATCACATCAAAAATTTCTTCGATGGAGGCTGGATGCTTGATATCCGACACCACTTGAACATTGGGCACAGAGGATCGTGATATCGTGATATCGTCCCAGTGCTGTGGGACGTGACCCACTTGCGGAAGAACCTGGTGGAGCATGACATCGTGGATACCGTGCTGGACCAGACGTATAATTACACGTTTCAACCCCATGCTTGGGAAAATCATGTATTTCCACAAATAGATGAGGACTTCGCCGGCACAGAGGAGACTGAAGGCCGCATCCAGAGGGAGCTGACCCAAATCCAACACATTCTTCAGCGGCACTTCAATCGGGCGCCTGAAGTGCCGTTGCATCCTATTCACCTGAAGTCTGACAATCTGGAGATCTGTGGAAGCTCGTTTGGTAAATTAATGCACAACGTGGTGCTGGTTTCCACCTATCCAAGCCGTCCGAACGTGCTATTGATGGCCGCCTTGGTGGGGATCGCGGAGCGAATTACAAAAAAACCCAACTCGGAATATCATTAATTATCCTTATATTTTATATAATTTAACTTTACATAACTTATCATTACTTTTAAATAAATCTAAAAGCGCCTACGCACCAGTGATGGCTCCATCTACGGGATGCAACAATATTAATTACACGAAACCAACTTAAAACAACCTGCAGGTGAGAGAGAGCCGATACGATACAAAACAGGTGCACATGAGAAAGCGTCTCGCTAATCCCATTTCTGCGGGGTGTGTATAATTTTCAGCTCGAGCTTGGCCGTGCAAAAATTTCCAAAAGAAATACGAAAAGGAAAAAATTGATAAAGAAAAAAAATTTTTATTTAATATTAAATATACTTAGGCATTAAAATTAGGACAAAAAAATATTCAAATTCATGCATAATTAATAGAAAAAAAATGACAAGGCTTAGATTTCTAAAAGGTGTATCATCGGTCTCATTGTGTCAATGGAAGGGTATTAGTAAAATAACGCTTCATGATGCTTCTTGTTTTTTTTTTCATTTAGTTACTTTTACGATTCGAAATTATAAAGTGGGAGATTAAACCTGCACTAAACCACCTGTTCCTTTTCCTTTTGCTATCCGAGTGTGTGGAGTGTACCTGCCAACGCTAACGATGAATTGTTCTATTGCTATGGACATGATACGCCACTACCACTGCAAAGTGTCAGTGCTAAAATTATTTCATATCCGAGAATTTGTAGCTTGGCCCAGCTAAAATTTGATCCCTCAGGTAAGTAAGTCCGGGAAGGCCCCAGCCCCGCCGCCTGGGACTGGGTTGCGACACCATTGCATTCAATAATTCACTGCGCGAAAAGTGAAAATCGTTAGTCATGTGCTTATACTTTAAGTTAATCACATCAAAAATTTCTTCGATGGAGGCTGGATGCTTGATATCCGACACCACTTGAACATTGGGCACAGAGGATCGTGATATCGTGATATCGTCCCAGTGCTGTGGGACGTGACCCACTTGCGGAAGAACCTGGTGGAGCATGACATCGTGGATACCGTGCTGGACCAGACGTATAATTACACGTTTCAACCCCATGCTTGGGAAAATCATGTATTTCCACAAATAGATGAGGACTTCGCCGGCACAGAGGAGACTGAAGGCCGCATCCAGAGGGAGCTGACCCAAATCCAACACATTCTTCAGCGGCACTTCAATCGGGCGCCTGAAGTGCCGTTGCATCCTATTCACCTGAAGTCTGACAATCTGGAGATCTGTGGAAGCTCGTTTGGTAAATTGATGCACAACGTGGTGCTGGTTTCCACCTATCCAAGCCGTCCGAACGTGCTATTGATGGCCGCCTTGGTGGGGATCGCGGAGCGAATTACAAAAAAACCCAACTCGGAATATCATTAATTATCCTTATATTTTATATAATTTAACTTTACATAACTTATCATTACTTTTAAATAAATCTAAAAGCGCCTACGCACCAGTGATGGCTCCATCTACACGGGATGCAACAATATTAATTACACGAAACCAACTTAAAACGAGAAGGAACGTGCGAGTCGCTTCTGGGGACGCGACTCTACTTATACCCGTACTCAGTCAGCACATACATTTTTGAGCATATGATTTTTTAGAATTTTAGAATTAAAAAAAAAAATTTTACATTTTACATTTTTTTGCTACATCTGCTATTTACATCTACATATACAATGTATATTCTACATCTAACATGTAGATTCTACATGTACCATTTAGATTCTACATCTCCTCCGCTAGGGGTTGCTCGCGCACTGAACGCGGCAGAGTGTGTGAGCGAGAAGGAAAATGAATTGTGTTGTCTTGGCGGGAGGTGGAGGGGAAGCAACTGAAAATTAATTTCTTCATTCTGGCTATAATTATGATCCGATCTGATTCAGATTCGGCAGTCTGGTAGATATGGACATTCTCTACGATACTGCGTTTTTAGTTTTATCGTATCTTTAAAAATGTGCCTGCCACAGATTTTCGTCCTTTGTTGGGGCGGAAGGGGGCGGGGCGAAATTTTGAAATACACTTGTAACAGTGGGATATCACATGAGTCTGGAAACCAAATTTGGTTGCCCTAGCTCTTATAGTCTCTGAGATCTAGGCGCTCAACAAGACGGACGGACGGACGGACGGACAGACAGACATGGCTCCATCGACTCGGCTATTGATGCTGATCAAGAATATATATACTTTATGGGGTCGGAAAATTTTCCTTCTCTGCGTTACACACATCCACTTTTACCACAAATCTAATATACCCCTTAACTCTTTTTTGAGTACGGGTATAACAACCTGCAGGTGAGAGAGAGCCGATACGATACAAAACAGGTGCACATGAGAAAGCGTCTCGCTAATCCCATTTCTGCTTGGGTGTGTATAATTTTCAGCTCGAGCTTGGCCGTGCAAAAATTTCCAAAAGAAATACGAAAAGGAAAAAATTGATAAAGAAAAAAAATTTTTATTTAATATTAAATATACTTAGGCATTAAAATTAGGACAAAAAAATATTCAAATTCATGCATAATTAATAGAAAAAAAATGACAAGGCTTAGATTTCTAAAAGGTGTATCATCGGTCTCATTGTGTCAATGGAAGGGTATTAGTAAAATAACGCTTCATGATGCTTCTTGTTTTTTTTTCATTTAGTTACTTTTACGATTCGAAATTATAAAGTGGGAGATTAAACCTGCACTAAACCACCTGTTCCTTTTCCTGTTGCTATCCGAGTGTGTGGGGTGTACCTGCCAACGCTAACGATGAATTGTTCTATTGCTATGGACATGCTATGGACTCCACTACCGCTGCAAAGTGTCAGTGCTAAAATTATTTCATATCCGAGAATTTGCAGCTTGGCCCAGCTAAAATTTGATCCCTCAGGTAAGTAAGTCCGGTTAAGTAAGTCCGGGAAGGCCCCAGCCCCGCCGCCTGGGACTGGGTTGCGACACCATTGCATTCCATAATTGTGAGTGAGTTTTGGAGTCCTTGGAGGTTTTAAGTTGTTCAATAAATTTAACAACAAAAAAAAATCAACTATAATTTCAATAGTTTAAACAAACGAACCAAAAAAAAACCAACTAAATAAAAACCAAAGAAATCCTACAAAGTCAGATTAGTTCAGTAAAAATCAGCAATTTCAAAGAATAGCGCATCTACAAGACCTATGTAAAAATAGGTGGTCTTAAAATGAGCGACCGACAGTCACTAGTTAGCCACCTCTAGCAAAAAGTGTCATCACCAGAATGCATAATTCGGTAACGGGAAGCAACACTCACACACATGTGGAGGCAGCGCTGCCGATAGAAGCCGAGCAGAGGCGCAAGTGCTGCCAATATTTAGGAATAAAAAGCTGGATTGATAAAATAAAAAATCATCCCTTGATGAAATTTAAAAAAAATAATTCTAAAGAAAATTAATGACTTATTTTTTTTAATGTACATATAACAAATGGTCTACACATGCAATTGCAGTATGTTTGTCCACAAATAGGCAAATAGATAATTATTTTTCAGGCAAATTTTTATGCAACATTTGTTCGAGCTTGTTGCACTAACAGCAATCAAATATTTTTTTTTTCGGCATGTGCAAATGATCTGAAAGTTTTGCTAAAATATGACTTTTGCAAAAATAAAACCGAAATGCTATTTAAATAAAAAGCTGAAAGAGTCGAAATGAAAAAAGCTAGATCTGACGGGAAAAAGCTGATTCGGCAACTCTGACGTGCAGTCGATGCTTCATATAAATGGAGCTGTGCCGCGCCATTCTTCGCAGTCGTTCCAGAGCACGCGCCCTGATAGGACCCTTTATTATTTGATCTATTAAAAACTTTCAATTATCGGCACTCTGTGCTAACGCATAGCGTAGCTAATATAATTTGAATAGAATAATATAAACTCAATATAAAAAACAATAAATAAAGCATAAAGCGTAGCTATAAATTTTTTCTTTTGCCACCCAATCAGCCTCTTGAAGACTGAGTGCATGTATGTGCGTGCGAGTATGTATGTATGTTGTGGTTTGTTGAAAACCATTCTCCTAATATTCAAATTAATAATGCTGCGCCAGGCCAAAGAATGTACGCAAGAATTATACCGGTGACTCCAGTGACCCCGTGTGTGCATCCTGTGCCTGGAGGAAACATTCCCCAATCCAGCGGCAGCTCATCAACGAGGAGTAGGATTGGCCAGGAGAACCAGGACATCCTCTCAAAGGATGCTTGTCCCAGCGATAAGAAGATGGATGCCGACGAGGAGGTGGAGGACGAGAGCTCCTGCCGAGGGATGCATGTCATGTGCCGGACAGCCCACCAGCAAATGTCAGCGAACATCATGAAGAAGACCAAAGAAGTGTGGGAAAGACGCCAAAATAGGCGCTAGGAGAGGATCCCGTTCCGACCAACCAGGATCCTACACGAGTCACAAAATTATCGTATGTATCTGCAAAATTCTTTCAAATTTATTGAACTTTGATTCCAAAATCTTCTTGAACAGAACTGGGTTACGCCACCATTGCATGCACAGATACACAAGCTCAAGAAGATGGTAAAATCGAAGTCGTCCGAGCAGGACAACATGGCCCAGCAGGCCGCAGAAACACGCAAGAAGCTGGAGGAGGAGCAGAAACGTGCGTCAGCATGGAGCAGCAGCTGAAGCGAGCCTGTCAGGAGAAGCAGCAATCGAAGGATCTACCGGACACTGCGCGAAAAGTGAAAATCGTTAGTCATGTGCTTATACTTTAAGTTAATCACATCAAAAATTTCTTCGATGGAGGCTGGATGCTTGATATCCGACACCACTTGAACATTGGGCACAGAGGATCGTGATATCGTGATATCGTCCCAGTGCTGTGGGACGTGACCCACTTGCGGAAGAACCTGGTGGAGCATGACATCGTGGATACCGTGCTGGACCAGACGTATAATTACACGTTTCAACCCCATGCTTGGGAAAATCATGTATTTCCACAAATAGATGAGGACTTCGCCGGCACAGAGGAGACTGAAGGCCGCATCCAGAGGGAGCTGACCCAAATCCAACACATTCTTCAGCGGCACTTCAATCGGGCGCCTGAAGTGCCGTTGCATCCTATTCACCTGAAGTCTGACAATCTGGAGATCTGTGGAAGCTCGTTTGGTAAATTGATGCACAACGTGGTGCTGGTTTCCACCTATCCAAGCCGTCCGAACGTGCTATTGATGGCCGCCTTGGTGGGGATCGCGGAGCGAATTACAAAAAAACCCAACTCGGAATATCATTAATTATCCTTATATTTTATATAATTTAACTTTACATAACTTATCATTACTTTTAAATAAATCTAAAAGCGCCTACGCACCAGTGATGGCTCCATCTACACGGGATGCAACAATATTAATTACACGAAACCAACTTAAAACAACCTGCAGGTGAGAGAGAGCCGATACGATACAAAACAGGTGCACATGAGAAAGCGTCTCGCTAATCCCATTTCTGCTTGGGTGTGTATAATTTTCAGCTCGAGCTTGGCCGTGCAAAAATTTCCAAAAGAAATACGAAAAGGAAAAAATTGATAAAGAAAAAAAATTTTTATTTAATATTAAATATACTTAGGCATTAAAATTAGGACAAAAAAATATTCAAATTCATGCATAATTAATAGAAAAAAAATGACAAGGCTTAGATTTCTAAAAGGTGTATCATCGGTCTCATTGTGTCAATGGAAGGGTATTAGTAAAATAACGCTTCATGATGCTTCTTGTTTTTTTTTCATTTAGTTACTTTTACGATTCGAAATTACAAAGTGGGAGATTAAACCTGCACTAAGCCACCTGTTCCTTTTCCTGTTGCTATCCGAGTGTGTGGGGTGTACCTGCCAACGCTAACGATGAATTGTTCTATTGCTATGGACATGCTATGGACTCCACTACCGCTGCAAAGTGTCAGTGCTAAAATTATTTCATATCCGAGAATTTGCAGCTTGGCCCAGCTAAAATTTGATCCCTCAGGTAAGTAAGTCCGGTTAAGTAAGTCCGGGAAGGCCCCAGCCCCGCCGCCTGGGACTGGGTTGCGACACCATTGCATTCCATAATTGTGAGTGAGTTTTGGAGTCCTTGGAGGTTTTAAGTTGTTCAATAAATTTAACAACAACAAAAAATCAACTATAATTTCAATAGTTTAAATCAGAGGTCGGCAGCGTCGTATGCACTGTGCATAGGAAAAAATTTCGGGCAGCGCAGTCGGCACACGTACAGCGTAAACCAGGGGTCGGCACACAGACTCACACATTTTTTTGGTGCGTTTGTGTGCGAAAACAACAGACACGAAGTCAAATACGTTACTTATTTCTCTGCCGCTGCGAAAGCCGAAGAATTGTGCATAGGGCACAAGAATGCTTCTCTGCCGCTGAGGCAAGCGGGCAGAATATGAAGCCGTTTGTGCATAGGCCGAAGCATTTTTCTCTGCCGCGACGTCAGCAGAGCAGAATTTTCTCTGCTGGTACGTCATCAGGCAGAATAACGAAACCACACGAAGTCTTTACGGCGTAAACTTTAAACCAGCGATGCCCAAAGTCAGCTTACGGCAGGGCACTCACCAATACTCCCAAACAACAAAATCATAACAAAAGTCGGGTAACACCAATCAGAGAAGAGACAAAACCGGTTTTTGCTGGACGGATCGCATACACACAAAGTTGTTTGCATGTGTTGAGCTTTCGGTATGGTATGCTGGTACACTGCACAAACTGTGTATGCATACAAGAATTGGTTTCCTATGCTGAGGGCAATTACAAAAACAAAAGGGCTCGGTGGGCAATGGGCCGGGGCATCTCTGATATAAATAGTGCTATGCGGCGCAGTTCTTTGCATGATTAAATTATACCCTGTACTCGATGAGTTTAAAGGGTATAATAGGTTTGAGGTCAAAGTCGATGTGCTTCTTTGAAATATTTAAGTACATAAAAAAGAACTGCGAGAGCGAGAGACCATTTAGACCCGACGAATTCAAGTATGCCGATCTCATTAGCGTTGCCGATTCATGCGAAAGGTTTGACGATCCGCTCCAGGAATGGAAAATTGATAGATGAGCTCCAAAACAAGCTAAATCTGAAAGAGTTGGACATTTATGTGCGGGGTGAGAGCATTGTAACATACGCCTAGGTCTACGGGCTTACATTTTAAGCAAGCAAAATTTGTTTATTTTCAGGCTACACCCTAAAAGGTCTGGGAAGAATTAAAAGCCTCGAGGTACACCGTTTAAACATTCGGATTGATATTAATGATTTGATCAAAATCTGCGGACTGAACAAAAACTTGCGCGTTCTGGAATACATGAATAATGAAATGGGCGGAAAGAGGCTGACTGGGATCGTCCCCTATTGCAAACAGTTGGAAGAACTCACCTTCCAAATGAGACCCGACTGCGATGCAAGCGTATACAGGCCTTTGTCCAAGATTCCCAAACTGAACCACTTACGAATCGTAGGCGTGCCCGAGACGGGCACTCTTCAGCCTCTGCTGGCGGTGTTGGCCGGCAATCGGAGCAAAGTCTCCAGCGATTTGTCCATAGACGATGCACCCTTGGACCACAATGAAACGCAGGCACTGGCCCAGATCGGAACATTAACCAGAGTGAAGTGTGGATTTGACGATCCCCAGAGCATGGGGCTCCTGTCTCAGCTGACCAAACTCCACTACTTGAAGATAATGTCCAAACACGACTTTGGGGCAATATCCAGACAAGTTCTGAGCATTCTAATGGAGTCAAAGCGGAAAATCAGGATTGAGCTAGACAATTTGTCAATATTTTACATACCAAGGGAAAAACGTATTCTATCACATAAACACAAAGCGCCGAGCTACTAGCGCAGCTACCCGTACTCAAAGAATTGACTATTACATCTGTGCCATCATCCCCTGCATCCCTCCAGGGCCTCCTGGCTGCTCTGGCTTCGAGCGAGTCGCAGACACTACAAAATTTGTGTTTGAATGGAAACTTCGATCCCGTGGGGGCAAGGGAACTGGCACGCCTGAGATCTTTGCGATTTTTGGAATGTCGGTTCGCTGATGTCTGGATATTCAGCTCCTTTCTCAACTTACCGAACTGGAAAAGCTCTACCTCAATGCCAATGAAATTTTAGAGGAGATATCGCCTGGGGTCGTAGCAGTTATAAAGTCCAGCCAAACGTTAGCTAGAATTCATATAAAATGTAATCAAAAACTCTGCGGTCGTGTCGACATGAAATCGTCTGAAATCCTCGTCGAAATGTTGAATGCCTGCCCGGGTAAAATTCATATACAGATCAACGACAGGAACATATCGTTCAATCGGGAAAAAAATAAATTGCTCGTAGAAATGGATTTTTTTAAACATAATAACCTTGCGATAGAACCTTTAGCCCGCCTTAAAGCCATAACCATATGGAAATAGAAGGATGCCATATAATTGGCTCCTGGAGTGAACTCTTTGCCGCCCTAGCGATGAGAAATAATCACGATCTACAGAGTCTGTGCATTCCCCAAAGCTGGCTTGAGACTGAGTGACTTAATGAGACTACGGAATTGGGCAAGATTACTTCGTTGATAATATTTAGAGGCTGCGTCTCCGATCTACAAAGTCTCCAGCATTTACTCCCTTTAAGCGATTTCCAAGTTACTAAAGACGGTTTTTTTCGTACAGGTTTGTAAATAAATCTTGGTTCGATCGCAAAAGCTTAAATTGTTTTTCTATCCATCTCCTTCAAACATCACGTTTAATAAGTCCACTGGGAAATTTACTATAACGAACCATAGGGCTGATGATGATGATGACTTTCCCAACGGACTAGTCATTGGACTAAATTATAGCCTATTATAGGCAGAATGAAGAAATTAATTTTCAGTTGCTAACCCACCTCCCCCTCCAGCGATGCAGCCGTAACTCATTCTCTCTCTCTCTCGATCCCACACTCTGCCTTGGCTGATTCAGTGTGCCTCTGTCCCTCTGTACCCCTGGCGGAGAACAAGTTAGGACTTTGTGTTGTAAGCTTGTAAGCTGATAAAATATTTAAAAATTCCACATAAATCATAAATTTTATTTTTGATTTGCTCTTTTTTGTACCTGCATTCAATTTCATAATTTTATAGAACTGAGACACAACCTGATGAGAAAGGTTACTATACATATGTATATTAATTTAGAGCTTATGCCATTGCCGAATATAACAATTTGCCGCCATAACAATTCAATTACCATATTCCCTGGACTAACATTTTGGCCACTTCAATTATGTAAGCGCCCCAACAAAAATGGTTTAACTGCCCATTAAAAGTTGCGATTAATATGTAAACAATCATGGGCAATTGCTGTTGGGAGAGGGCCGCCGCCGCCAGGAGCTGCCGTCTGTCTTATAAAGGACCCATTCAACCGGCTCACCATCCCACCCATCTCTGAGTATCCATCCTTCGGCTGACAGCATAAAAATAACACATAATCATTTTATTAGCTCAAGGAGAACGATGCACTGAAGCATGGGCATCGTTCCGCCGGATTGTACATCCTGTTGCCCGTACGTATCATCATGGGTTGAGCCCCGGAGCCGAGCTGAGTCCGTTGCGAGTCCTTGATGGTGTTGTTACTGTTGCTTTTACTCCTTGCTACTTGGGTTAACATGTTGCATTAGGGCTCTCACGCTCCCAGACATGTGTTCGCGTGTGTGTGTGTGTGTGTGTGTGTGTTTGTGTGTGGGGGTCGTACGAGCCAGTGGAAGTTTTCTCGTTAGTGAAACTAATTATCCGTTGTCGCTGTCAGCAAATTTATCGTTAAACGTTAGGTGACAAGTTGAAGCCGAACGCATCTGCTACATCCCCCCAAAAAAAGCAACCATCTGGCTCATACGGAGGGTCCTTTTGCTGGCTGAAAGGGAAGGCTGACTGGCTGATTTTGTTGGCTTTTGGGAGTTAACAAAAGATAAACAATGACTTGTGAACAAATATTAAAGTTATTGAATGTGTTGGGGTATAAGAAATCGTTTTCTGCATAAAATGGAGATATATTTTATATATTCCCTTTCCTTCTGGCTTTCATCCCTATCGCCTTCTCCTTTAACTCTCTCTCTCTCTCTCTCTCTCTTGCTCTGCTCTTTGATGATTAAATAATCATTTAGCATTATGATTTCTTTTTCGCATTAAAAAACCGCAGCTCACAAATGTTGTTCCGCACTTCCCCTGCCGTTGTCCTTCTGAGCACTTTATGCACCGGAAATGGTTGTCGATTTGCAACAAATGGCCTCCGGATGTTGCCACATGGCGCACGTGGGCGAGTTTTTTGTGGGTGAGGAAAAAATGTATAAGAGTATTTTTGTAACTCTAACCCCTTGGACCCATTAATTGCCTAGCACGTAATTATTTTGTAGTTAAAATGGGCGCGGTCGCAGCAGCAGCAGCAACAGCAGCGGCAGCGGCAGCACACTCCCAGACGCATCAGACGCACCACACGGCACCGCACACCCTGTGTTGCATAGAGTCATGCATAATTTGGGTTTCAGAGTTTGCAGCTAATTAAAAGCGCGTCGCCAGTGGAAAATTAGTCGCGGCAAAAAGGGTTGCCAGACGTGCATTCGGCAGAGTGGTTTGGGTATGGGTTCCTAGGGGCAGTGGATGTGGATGTGGTGGTGGCATACTCACAGGTGGCAAGTTGTGACTTTTCAATTAGCAGCCAAGAGGGTGGGACAGGCACAGGTGCAGCGGATACCATGGGTTTTTGTCGGGGCCATTTACGTTGCCTACTTTCAGGCTTACATTTCCGATGATAATTGTATAGCATACTTTTGACGATACAAAAAGTTAAAGCTTCTGAAGAATAAAAGTGAACTTTTACTTAATAATTTAGGCAGTTATCTAGCTAAGTTTTTTTTTGTTTCTAAAAAGGCTTATTTAATTCCAATTGCTTCTTAGAGGAAAATTGCAAGAAATTTTACTATTTTACTTAGCCTTCATTAATTTTTTTTTAAATAAATTTAAACGAGTATCTCTGTTCATTCTTAGCAGTCAATTAATTTTTTTTATGTTTCACTTTGAAAAAAAAATTCATTTGGAAACAACTTTTTGCATAACATCCCATAGAAGTTTTGTACATTTATTTCATGTACAAAAAGGACCTACTAGACAATCAGTACCAGCCATAGGGACTCTGATTTTTCCTTACTTTCCAATCAGAATTGTTTTCCATAAATTACTAACAAAGTTTCAGTAATTCAATTACTGTGCTGCCCCCAAACCATTGCTCATTTTTAGAATTCATTCTGATTGTTGATTGTTTACTAAAATCCAACCAAAATCCCAGGAAAAATACAAGCTTTCGCTTCGATTTGTTTGTTTTATAATCATAATTATGGCGTTTTTTTTTTTGTGTTTATTTTTGCATTTTAATTGCTACATTTTAGATACGTATTCAATATCAATAATTACAATTACACATAGACACACAGAAACGCGCACTCATCCCCTTATTTATTTGTGCAACAAACATGCATAAATGCTATCCATTAATTTTGGGATATATCTAGATATAAATATAGTTGTCTGCCTTGGAGTACAGTTCATTAGTGCGAACCAAAGAAAAAATATTTAAAGTTGTATTTTTCTTGGCTCGAAATTGAAGGAGTTTTTGTCATATATGCCGGGTTGGTGGTGTCTCTATATCTATCGTTGGATTATATATGTACGTATATTAATATATGTGTGTGTATTTATTTATGTGCAGACTATTTGAACAACAAATAATTAATTAATTAATTGGGGCACTGCTATAATTATTACAATTTAAATTACTATATGCACAATTTATTCACTTGTATTTAACCATATACTAGATGATACTTATAGAGGTAGGGGAAAAGTATTGGTAGGCCAACTAATAAGTGTAATTAGAGTTGAAACGTAGAAGATCATAATGATGAAAGACCAAGATTTAAAATAAGTAATTTACAGAAGTTAAACTTCAGTAAAAACTTCAAATTATTTGCCCCGCCATTCCTTTTCCCCCACCACAGTACAATAATTTAAATATATTCGCGTATATGCTATATTATTTGTTATGTCTACTCAATCATGTTCACATTTGCATAATTAATTTGAATATTTTACTTGATATACATTTAATATAATTACGTCTAGTGCATTACAATATTTACACGTTGGTGGATAAACATTCATGTATGTGTGTATGTATGGATATCTGTCTGTATACTAGGCCTAGGTATATATATGTATATATAGCACACAGTAATGCTGCCCGCCTTCCATCGATCCTATCTAAATCGTGTAAGCTTTATTTTATAGCTAACGCAGAGTGTGGGGGTTATCATCATCTGCATACTTGGAGGAACTTATCATACTTTTTCTTCAACATGTACAATGATCTACATCCTACACTTATTCTACAGTGCAACGAAAGCAGTTTCTTAGTCAGAGTTTTAGAAGATACAAAGCTGGAGAAAGATACCAAGAGAGAGAGAGAGAGAGAGAAAAGTAGGGTAATACGTCTATCACTAGCATAGAGTCCCCGCCAGTTTTTGGGGCATTTGTCATATATATAGAAACGAAACCTTGTAATACTAAAAATTATAAGTAATCCTCACGCAAATCCTCGCACGCTTTCAGTCTCAGTCTCGGTCACATTCGAATGTTCAGTGACAAATGCGAAGGGTGAATCGATCGTTCCTTCAACCATATACGCTCCTTCCTCTTACCATGCCCATGCCCATTCTCATCTCCTTTCCCCATCCATCCATATCCTTACTCAAAGTTCTCCACACCGCCATTGTTGAAGCGCTCGCACCAAGCGAGCAGCTCGCGCACTTCCCTGGCATACAACTGCTCCTGGGATTGGGTCTGGGATGGGGACTGCATCTGGACCATCTGTACCTCCGCCTGAATCTTGCCTAGCTGTCCCATGGACCCGCTCTGCAGGGGTCAGACATTGTGGCACGGAGGCTGGCCGCTGCTGCCGCTGCCAGTGTTGCTCAGCAGACTCCTCTCGCTGGCCACACTCCCGGGGGCGTAGATCAGCTCGCTGGCCTCCTTCACATTGATGGACTCCTGGGGTGCCTTGCGGCTGCCTCGAGTGCTCTGGCCGCGCCAGGACTGATTGTGTGGCGAGGGCTGCAGCAGCTCGCTGGGATGCTGCGGCACCAGGGGCAGAAGTTGCTGCTGTTGCAGCGGAGGCTGCTGCTCATCGACCTTCACGTACAGCCGCTCCATATCGTCCAGGTCCCCATCGGCAGTGTGGTACAGCGCCTGCTCGTCCTCGTGCGACATCAGCATGGCCATGGGCGAGGGGGAGCCACCGCAGCCGGAGTCGGCCAGCCCGTTGTAGCAGAAGGAGGAGCCATCCAGATCGAGCAGGTTCTGTTGCTGTTGCTGGGTCTTGCCCTGATCCATCAGTGGACCCCCCGGACCTGTGTTTGTGTTGATTACCTTGAAGCGGGCACTGTCCCGTCCGATGCTGCAGCCCGGCGGCAACTGCTGCCGCCGCACGCTGGCAAACTGCGACGAGTTGCTGGCGGGGGAGGAGGTCTGCTTGGGTCCCGGAGCCGCCTCGTAGGTGTGGCAGTTGCTCAGCTTGTTCTCGGTGATGTGCATGTGCATGTGCTTGTCCTTGGGATAATAGAACTGCTCCGAGTACACCGAGCGAGCGGGGCCCGTATTGCTCGGATAGATCTCGCTGGTGGTCGACATTTGCTGATAGATGTTGCCCGGGGGAATCTGTTGCTGCTGTTGCTGCTGCTGCTGCTGCTGCTGCTGTTGTTGATGCTGCTGTGGATGTTGTGGATGCTGCTGCTGCTGGTAATGGGGATGCATGGGACGCTGGAGGCCATAACCAGAGCCCGGTCCAACTGCTCGCTGTTGATAACGTGACTGCTGCTGTTGTTGTTGGTTCGGGTTCAGTATGGAGGATGTGGCATAGGGCGCCGGGGAGGCATTGCCATGACGTCCGTACTCGCTGGGCGCTTTTCCAAAACTGGACACTTCCGCATAGTCGGTGGGTATATTGGAGTACTCGCCCGCGTACCTGCAAATGAACAGATAAAAACAAATGAAAAAGGAACCCAGTTATTACTTGGCTTGTTTATTACAATATTTTCCCCAGACCAGCCCACAACCGGGTAAAATCCCATCCCCTCCCACACCATATTTTTATACCCGTACTATGGGTATTGTTGTGGTAGTGGTGTGTGTAACGGGAGGAACCCTTTTTTCGCATGCGTGTCGGCCGTTGTCTGTCTGTCTGTCTGTCTGTCTGTCGCTGCTGTCTGTCTGTGACCCTAGTCTGGCTTGCTGGGCAACCAATTGGTCACATGTGTATCCCCTTGTGTTTCAAACGCCCCCCCCCTCCCCCCCACAAAGAACGAATTGGGCACTTAAAGATAGATAAAATAAAGTATCGTAGGATGCCATATCACAACTCATCTGAATCAGTCGGTCTAATTATAGCCAGAATGAAGAAATTAATTTTCAGTTGCTCCCCCCCCCCTCCCGCCAACGACAACACAACTCATTTCCCTCGCTCGCACACTGCAGCGTTCAGTGCGCGAGCACCCCTAGCGGAGGAGTGTAGAATTGAATGGAACGTACAATTACTGTTAGTGTAGAATAGCTTGTATATGTAGTCGATGTAGCAAAAAATGAATGTAAATAAAATTAAAAAATCTAACAATATGATATACTGCTAGTCGGGTATGTGTCGTGTCCCAGAAACGACTCACACGTTCCTTCTCGTTGGTTATAAATTTGTCGGTTGCTGGTCGGGATTTTGGTGTACGGAATTTATGGCGTGGCGCGGCGGAAATTTGCATTTTTCAGTTTCGGTCCAGTCCAGTTCAGTTCAGTCCGGCGTTGCTTCCGACTCTGTGCGTGCCCTTCCGTGTGGAAAAATGTGAATTTATTTCACATTTCATGTGTACTACTGTACTACGATATATGGTCAAGATCAGGTGAGAAAATAGTATTTCGGTAGATGTTTCCCAGACTAAAGCAATCCTTGCATATCCATTAAATAAATGACCAGCTTAAAAAACAGCGCCAAGGTGCAAATGTTCAGAGCAGAGCAGGAATTCCCCCACCCCCATCTACCAGCTCCACATCCCCACATTCCCATTCCAACCACCTACCCCTTTGTCCATTCTCACATTTTTAGCATTATTTTCGTATTTAAATACTGAAAGCGGATTAACCTGGCGGCAGTGCAGGGCAGTGCAGACAGCCAGCCAGCAAACCATCCGTACCAAAAGAGCAGAAAAAAAAAATGATTTTAAAACTCTGAAAAGCTTGTAAAAATATACGGCGCATTGATGGAGTTACCATGGCGAGGCACGGAGCACTCCACATAGACCGCTCTTAATGCCCCTTAATGAGTGGAGCAGCCAGGGAATAAAAGTTGTTCCCTGTACCTGTACCTGCACGAGCACTCCTCAATGGAATAGCAATGAGCTTGTCAAATGCTGTCTCGGAAACGGGGTAAAACATTTAAACTTGTTAAGCGAATTATGTTTGATAAATCTATTTGTGAAGTGAACCAAACAGAGAAGGGAACTGGACAGGAAAAACAATCCCGGATATCACCTGCATCTTTTCAAATGATTTGTGAAATGGAAAAACAAGATGTGTGCCACATTTTATGATTTTATGCCCAGACTTTATCATGTACTCGTGTGTACTGCCCCGTGGATTAGCTCTCAACCGGCATATAACTTACATAGAGCTCACATATCTGATAGTAATTATAAAGATATATGAACTATAATCTATTATCTGCTCTATCATATTATTTTTTTTGCACACATATGACACTCATTATTATCTGATTACTTTTAATGTTATGGTTATTATTTTGTTGCAATTATTTTTAATATTTGTATTAAATTGCAGACAGAGAAAGGCGACTTTGTGTGTGTGTGTGTGTGTGGGACTCATTTTCAATTTGCGTTTTTAATGGCTAATTAAGTGTGCAAAAATAATTATAATTATCTGCGTTCTCGCATTTATTTACAGTAGTCGCTCGAAAAAATATTTCCATTTAATATTTGAGCAGGCGGCCCCCGTTTTATTTTTTTCCTCCTTTATTTATTTAAATAAACGAATTTTTGCTTTATTTTTGGAATGACTCTTTAGCTTTTGATGCTTGATTGGCATTTAATTGCAATTTTATTGGACAGCAGCTGCTGGTGCGCGGAAAATGCTATATTTAAATTTTAAATATTTCTTTTTATTTTATCAAGTTTTTTGGTATGTCTGCCATGATAAAGTGATTACGAAGTGATTCAAAAAGTGGATAAAACGCTAAATATAAGTAGTTTTTAATAGGATTTTGATGTAAAAATGTGGAATGAAGTTTCCTAAATTTTTGTTGATTTTACTACATTTTCTTCACATATTTTCCAGCAGTTTAAATATTAAGCTTTCCCACTTTTGTTTTTTTTATATATTTAAATCCGATTCCTGCCCCCGCCTAATTTTACGTATAATTTGCGGCCAACACAAAATTAGCCGCAAATAAATAACAATTACGATTCGATGCCAGAAACATTGCGCCAAACAGCAACAATTTCCAGGCCCAAAACAATATTTTGCGTGCATTTGCCAGCGGCCAGACAAATAAATTAGATTGCCACGGGGTCCGTCCTGCTAACAGGATTCAACTTTGATTTGGACCTTCAGGCCTGCCAGCTGCACCACAAAACTAATTACAAATGCGTGGCTAAATTATGCAAAACATATTTTATTGCAGCCCCCCAAACCGCCTTAAAGTCGTGCTAAAGCGCAGCCTTGAGGTCGTGTTAAAGTGCAGTCCTTTGAGTCCTTTGATAATTACATTGTACCCGGCAAGAACTCCACTGGGCATTGGCCAAAAATCAACATAAATAGCCCGGCCAACATTTCTATTCCTAACTTGATTTTCCCACCGGCCCAAAAAGGGAGAGCAAAAAAGAATGCTCTCGAAAAACTATGTGTGTCTGGGTGTGCTTTTTTTTTTGGGGGGAATATTTTCTTCTTTTTGGGAGTTTTCTTTTCTTTTTTTTTTGGTAGTCGCCGCGGCAGAAAAATGCAATTTCACAGTTTGGTGAATTTTTATTGTCGCCGCTTTGAGCTGCCAGGTTGTCGTTGTTGTTGTTGGCATACCCTTAGCCTTTAAGAGGGGTATTACCGACTGAAGGCACAGTTTGATGTGGCTTTTGGGCAGAAAAGAAGCCGCATAATTTGCTCAGATTGTGACTGAACTTAAAGCTGGGATAACTCTTCGAATAGGGAAGATATTTGCTGCCCATAACTGCCGATCGTTGGGGTTCAGTCTCAAGAACAAACAACAAAGTTAGTGACGAATTTCCTTAAGCCCCACAGTTGATCCTCAATGTTGATTGATGCACAGAAATTCCCTCCAAAGCGTATCCCAACTTCGTTTCAAGTATTTTTACACTGGGGCGAACCCCGTTCCTTAGCATCGCCCCCAATTTGCTGGATTGGTTTTTGTTCGTTGGAAAAACTTACCGCTGCTGATTGCGTTCACTGCCATGTCCTCCATGAATGTCATCGACGCCGCTGATGCCGCCGGCACCAGCGCCAGGGCCTCCCGTACCGGGACCAATGCCGCCAGTCCCGGGACTCACAGCACCACAGACAGGGGCATAGTCGGCGATGTGATCCTTCTGCATCTCGAGCGAGTCGCCGCTGGGCGAGGGTCGCCACACCATGCCGCCCGTGGACGCATCCAGCCAGTAGCCGTTCCCATTCCGTGTCGATAGACTCGGCATTTTGAGCACGTCGTTCGTGTGATTGCCTGCAGGTGGAAAAGGGTTGGGAGAGAGCAGAAAGAAGACAGTCAGTCAGAGCAATTAAATGTTGTGCAACAAAATTGTGGGGCAGGGATAAATTGCAGTCCGCAAATTAAACAAAAACATACAAAAGAGCTGGTGGGAAACGGCATAGACAATTGTGTTCTCGAAAAGGATTCGGCGAGGAGTCGATTTGTCGGAGATTTTTGAGGAGATTTTTGGGCAGAGATTTTTTAGGAGATTTTTTGGGAGAGAAAAAGCTTTTGTATCTGTGGTATTTGTGGTACATATTTGAGCGTATAATTTGGGAACCTTTTCTCCTATATTTTTGAGTCGTTCAATATTGAAATCAATTGCTGGAACATTCCTGACACCCATCCCAGTGGATTAATTCCCTCTGCTATAAATTGAGCGCATTAAAATAATATTATCCCTCCTGGGGGGGACATGCCATTTCTCTCATGCCTTGCATGGAAAAAATCAAATAAATTATTGTCAATTTTCCACTTGCGTTGCATGCTCACAAAACACAGCCAGAACAACAAAAGAGCAGAATGCAGCAGCAGCAGCAGCAGCAACAAGGAGACAAATTGTGTTGCATACGTATAAAAAATGCAACCAATTAAACTGTCCCCGGGTTATAACTGCGCATCAAGCGAGTGTTTTATGGCCTGCCACCTCCTGACTCTCTGACTCTCTCCTCACCCAGTCTCCCATTTATGGCTGTCTGCCGTCAGCCGTCTGCTGTCCCCTCAAATTTGTGTCCTTTTTTGCAGTTTTTTTTCTCCTGCAGGTGAGCATTCATTCAACTGTCGCACCTCTCTCTGATGCTCCCTGGAGCTCCCTGGAGCTCCCTGATGCTGCTTAGTTTATGGTAAATGGCGCCCATGAATATGCAACGCTTTTTTCCGTGTTTTACCATTTGGATTTTGACTTGTTCTACACTATTGTTGTGTGCTGGATTGCCAGCAGAGTTGCCAAATGGTTTGAATCGTTGTCAGCTTTTCCCCAATTAAAGCAGCAGAATATTTGTTGCATTTCGGGAGGGATTTATGGGGAGCATGGGGAGTAGGGTTGGGAAAATCAAATGGAAATAGATATTTCTGCCCAAAATATGCTTTAAAACTTTCCCTTAATTAATTTCTGTTAATTTGGTTGCCTCTCGCTGACTCGAACTGCTTTTCATTTGCCATTTTCCAGAGTTCCCTTACCTTTGCTCTAAAATTCCAGGACTATTTCCACCCCTCGACAACCATTTAGGGGCTAACCAGCTAAACCAAAATGCCCAATTCCCCCCAGTCAACAGGCTGCACTTCGCACTGCCTCCCCCTACCTGACTCGCAGACTATTTTCCCCACCTGCCCTGACTGTCCTCTCTCACCTCGTAACGATGCTAATTTCAATTAGACCACAAGAGCTGCCTATCCCCCTGCTTGAACTCTCCATTTAGGCCATCTGCCGGCACACACACAACTTGTTGGTTAATAATGCACACAAAACTAAATGCATAATTGCAATGGCAGCCATTAGAGAGCGGGGGAGGGCTTGGGGAATGTCCAGGGACTGCCACTAAGGGCACAGGAAGTTGCCGTCACGTGCAAAATGTTAATTTCTATTATATGGAGAGTATATCTGGGCTGCTCGGCCTCGGCCTGCTAAAATATTTATTCGCACCTATTTTTGGTTGCATATTTTTGTTGCTTTGTTCTCTTGTATCCCTTTCCCCACTTCATGTTGTGTCCAACAATGGAAAATTAGCGTTATTTATATATGCAAATGTGTGTGTGTGCGAGTCTGCCGCTGTCTGGCTAGGAAGGAAACCAAAACTAGCAGAGCTCTTGCAACGGATGCTCCAGGCTCTCCAGGATGTGCCGCCATAGCCAACCGCTGCCATCCAATGTGTATTTTGTGTGTGTGTGTGTGTATTTGTATAGTGTCCAGGAAATACTCACCACGCATGGTATTCAGGGCCGACTGCTTCATCATCATGTGCTTGCGCTTCACAAAGACCATCGCCCCAAAGGACAGCATGAGTATCGCCAGTATGGCGCCCAGGAGTATTATGAACCAGGGCTGTGTCAGCACATCGTTAACATGATCCTGATTGATGGGATAGCTGCAAAACCAAAACCAAAATTATAATTATAAATAGAAATAGAAATTATTTAAGGATAAAACCCGCTAAAAATAGCTGAGAAAGTTCTCTCGCCCCCGCGGCTGAAAATAGTTGGAAAGGTCTCCCCAAACTCCCAACTGTACTTACCGCTGATTGATGAACGGATCGAGACGCTTGGTGATGGGATCCAGACGCAATGTGGCCGGCACACAGTAGGGACCGACACCAGCATTATTGCCCGCTGCCACGCCCACAGTGTACATAACGCCCTCGGTGAGATTGGCCAAAACGAGCGTGGGCGAAGCCGCGTCAATGGTGACATTTGTGAGTATCCTTGAGAAATTGTGAGCCGTGTCAATGCCTCGCACCACAACGTGATAGTTCAGGAGAATGCCTGCAAAACGAACACATTAAATATAAGTGATTTTTCATAGCGATTATTTATCGATAAGAGTTTCGATAAATGCAGTTTTGGGCTTTGAATGGAACACTTACCATGCTGTGCCTTCAGTTCGGGCGCCTTCCACTTGAGGAACACCGCAGAGGCGTTCAGCAGCAGAGCCTCCATGCCAAATGGCGCCTCATTGGGCACTGCAAATAGAGTAGAGGGGAAACCGGTTAGATGGCTTTTTGATTGTTACGTGACGTCCCGCCCTAATGAGATTTTGTTTGGTAATTAATTAGCATTTAGTTGGGTTGGTGGGGAGTTCCTGTTCCTATTCCAGTGTGTCTCTCCTCTCAAGCAGTCAACAAACTGAAACTAGTTCCGGGCCTTTTGGGGATGTGTGGACTTGAAGGGTTTTTGCACCCTCCCCCCGTCCAGGCACATCCTTCACATCGAGTGTCTACTGTGTGCGTGTGTGTGTGTGTGTGTGTGCTTGTGCCCAAGGAATCCTTTTCCGCAGTTGTAGCTCACTTCACAGAACTCATCTTCATTTGTTTATTTATTTCCTGCTGTCGCTTTTTACAAGTGCTTTCCCCTCTTTCTCCCCTCCCCAGCCATTCCCTTTTGCTATATTGCACCCAATCGCTGTCTCTGTCGTTCTCCCCCTCTCTCCCCCTCTGTGGCGACGGCTGAGTGAAGCAATTTTCTTTAAATAAACACACACGTGCAAAATTTGCAACGAGACAAAACAAAAGGTGCTGCAGGAGTGGCACAGAGACTCTGTGCAGTGCAGCAGGAGAGGAGTAAAATCCCTAAATAGGTACGATAGGATACCCCCTGGAAAATAGGGGCTGGGCTGGGGTGGGGTGGGGTACTGTAGAGAGCTGCCTGCGAGACTCCTTCTGATTCTTTTTATTTTTGCTGTCTTTGTTGTTGTCCCATTGCGACATGCTAAAGTGCTTGTCGTGCCTTTTGTCTATGCGGGTGTTTTGTTCATTCTTTTCGCTGCTTTCGCTGCTTTCTTACTCGTTCTTCTTACTCGTTCTGATGCTGATGATGCTGATGATGATGCTGATGCAACGCTGCTTAACACGTAGCTGCCATTGTGCGACACAAATGACCCCCAGGCGTAGCACTCGCAGATGAATCTCAAATTGTCTGTGCAGAAAGCAATTGAAAACACACAGCAATTGCAGTTGTGATCACACTTTCCGCTTATCTAAATGTTTCGACTTAACACAGTCACTGCCAAAAAGTGTGACTCACTGCGGTCTGCCGTGGGGGTGGGGGTCACTGCAAAATGTCATTCCGGTGTCTCATATATTTGTTTTTTTGGGGGTTAATTTGATAGTGCAAATATCATTCGGGTGAGGATATGTCCGTGCAAAGGCAACCACTCCCTTGTCGGAATTCCGTTGGTGCAGGGGAAATCCTGTTCTGTCCGCCGACACCCTTATTTACGGGAAATGTCGTGTCATTTATTGGCGAAGGTCGGAAAAGCGTGTCCTTTGGTGGAAGGAACTAAATTTGATAGAGTAGAAGCAGCTAGAGGGTTAAGCTTCCAGCCAGAGATGTGCCATGGATCAATCCTCTCCCATCTACACTTCTGCCCAACAGTTTTTCCTTTAAGCTTTCTGCAGAGCATTCCCCAGTCACCCAAATTCGAAATCTCTGTCTGCCCTTTGCTGGAGATTTCCTTTTTGCCGCCGTCTAACATTTCCCCAGTGGAGCAGCAGCAGGAGCAGCAGCAGCACACCTTTATTTGCCGACTTCCGACGTGGCTAAAAATGTTTCCTGTCTGGGGGGCCCCGTCCCCTTAGTGGCTCCTCGCTTCAAATTTGCATTGCCAGCACTGCACATTCTTGTGGCCCACTGTGCGGGTGTACAGTGCCTCATATAGCAGCAATAATTGTTGTTTATCTTTACACAATTGCGTTGGCAATTTCTTTGAGGCACTGTGTAGCTCCCTGTGTAGCTCCCTGTAGCCCCCCTGTAGCCGCCGCTGTTGTCAACAAAAGTCAGACGCTGCGATGCTCAAGTGAAAATGTGATGCATACGAAATGAGTTTTGATTTGATGACAGTCGAGCGGGGAGAGGAGGAAGTTGGCTGGTGTGTGGCAGGGAACACAAATATACTGGAAATGAAGTGGAGTCAAGTGCGACGCCAAGAGTTTTTCTTTTTTTTTGGGGTGCGTGCAACGTTTGTGCATTTTATATTGCGGTTCCCTCCCACTGTTGACTTATTTGCAGGCACTGTGAGTGCACTTTCTGCTACTACTTCTCTCTCTCCCTCTCTGCCACTTTGCTTTTTGTTTCTTAATTATTTTTATATATCTCCTTTTTGTGGCCAAGAGAATTTCTCTATTCTCCAGTCTCCAGTCTCTATTCTCTGTGCACTCGCTGCGCACTCGTCTCTCGGGGTAAGTTTTATATCTCAGCTGCTTCTCTGGTGATGGAATGAAGTGATAAACCTGTCTGGAAAGTTTCCATTTCTTTACTCTCTCTGTTTTAATATTTTCGCATCTTTCTTTCGTTGAGTTTGCATTTTTGCAAGTTTTCAGTTTGGCTCAATCTTATCTTGAGGCTTGTCTATGGGGGCTGCCAATGATACTCGCATATTCCCGTGGCTAACCTCGGGGGGCTCAATGGATTTGCTTAGACCCAAGGATAAACTTTTGGCGGAGTCATGTTCCGCCGATAAGCCGCCAACGAAAGGGCTTCCATATGGGACACATGTAAATCGCTTGGATCAAGTATTCCGCACACAAACCGCATTTGATTTGAGTCTTTGAGTCGTTGAGTCCTGTTTCTGGCCACGTGAATTGTTTTAGCTCCAAAACCCTTTCCCCCCAACTGTCCCCACCCCTTTGGTACAGAGTTTTTCCTTCAATTGTACACGTGAGCCCAGCATGGAATTGACATCGGAAATCCTTCGCTGACATTGTTCGACATTTACTTACGCATGATTCGGCTTCTCTTTTTTTGCTTGTTGTTGTATCCTTCCGTTGATTGACATACTTTCCATTATTTGCCATACTTTCCCCCACCCCACCACCCGACAAACGCAACACAAAAAAAAAACAACAAAACATAACAAAAATCTCCGCCCTCGGGAAAAAAAAAAAATTATTGGCGATTATGCGACCCCCGCCCGACCCGCATGGGCGGCAGCAGCTGATGTCGATGGCCCGAAGGATAAGGCTCTGCCCCGTTACACGTTACACGTTCCACGTTCCCCGTTTCCCGTTCCTTCTGCCATTTCCTTTTACCGCTCATATCCTTTTATTGAATTAGGTTATTGTTGCAAATGCAAAAAGTGCCCCGTGTGCCCCGTCACCGCCTTCTGCATTTGTCACACGAGCAAAAGGGAGAGAGAGAGCGAGAGGAGGAACCTTTGAAGGTAGGGCTTGGGTTTGGGTCTGGGCTTGGGGTAACTTTCCACGGGGGTAGTTTTCCTTGTAAAGGTATTTTATTCGGTTTGTTGGATTTCGATGGATTTAAGGCACATGGTTCATTAGATCTCAGAGTGAGAGAGAGAAAGTCGCAGGCTACAGTGCGTATCAATAGCATGCGGCCATGTGACGCAGCAAAGCCTGACTGACAGGCTAAGGCCAATCAAAAAGATAGCAATCAAAATGTGCAGCAGAAAGTTACTTCAACTTCAGTTAGTTTTAATAATTACAAACCAATGGCAAAAAAAAAAAAAATTAAAATGTATTTTATGCCACTGAAACGCACTGTACAGTGCACACACACATGCAAATGAGTAGCAAGCTAGAGAAAGGGAAACATAAATGTGGAGAGTAGACTCACCATCTTCCTGGGTGCGTGCAATCCGCGAGTTGGACGGCTTCCCCTCCACGGACTTGTAGAAGGGCACAATGAAAAATTCATATAACGTATACTGGACGAGGCCCGTGAGGGTGCAGGACGAGGCGCCGCCGCCGTTCAGTATCGTCAGCATGCGATATTTGGTGCTTAGGGCCGACGCTGTCGATGGCTGCTGCTGCTGCTGCTGCTGTTGGGTCTCGCCATCACGTTTGCCGGCAGCGGCAATATTTGGTTTTGTCGAAATCAATGCCGATGCCGATGCGGATGCGGATGCTGATGCTGTGGCAGAGGTTGGGCCCAGCAACGGATTCGTGTGGCTGGATATGGGAGCCGGATTGTTGACTATTGGACTTGGCAACTGACGCGCATAGACATAGAAGCCCTCGACATATTTGCCGTTGATGATCTGCATGAATAAGCGAACCAAAGAACATTGGAGGAATGAGGTGAGGTGACGATGAGGTGGGGCATTGGGCTGGGGATTACTTACATGCCAAGTGAGCTTCATGCTGGTGGAGTCCACCACACTGGCGTTGCTCAGTTCGACAACATCGCCAGACAGCAGGCTGGCCCGAGCCTCGCTCAGGTCCAGGCCGCTGTTGAAGTAGCGCTACAGGAAGGAAGGAAAATATGATTATAAAATGGGAATGGAGAGGGAAAAGTATTTTGGGGGCAGAACTTACCGTGCCCACGGCAATGGGCTCCGACATGGGACTGGGCAGGGACAGGCCGTGCGAGTTCTCTGCGCGAATCAGGAAAAAGTAGTTGACGCCCGGCACGAGGCCCGCCTGGGTGTAGGTTGTGTTCTGCACCCGGGTGCCCACGGCCACCCAGCCGTCGGTCTCGTTCTTGCCGAACATTTCGATCACATAGCCCACCAGGCTGGAGCCGCCGACCTTGTTGCTTCTCGTCCAGCTGAGCGTCACGGAGTCCTCGCCCTTCTCCACCAGCTGGGGCTTGCCCGGCGGGCCCGGGTACGTCGAGAGCTCTGGCGCCCGATAGAACTTGATGTTGGGATTGGTGGGGGTGTCCAGCCGCAGGTAGCCACTCCAGGAGGACTTGCCATTCCGATTGCTGGCCACACAGGTGTACAGGCCCTCGTCCTCGTGCCGCTGCAGATCGGAGATCGTCAGGGCGCCCGCCTCCGTGAGATTCCTTCGCTCGTGCTCCTGCACATCGATGGGTATGCCGTCCAGGTACCAGGAGATCTGCGGCACGGGCGTGCCCAGCGTGCGGCAGGGCAGCACCACAATCGACTTCACGGGCAGCGTCTGGTTGACGGGACCCTGCTCGATAATGGGTGGCGGCAGCTCGAACTGGGTGTCCACCGAGACGACCGTTCGGCTGCTGACACTGCCCACGGCATTGAGGGCATTGCAGACGACCACCTTGCCGGAATCGTCGCGGGCGAATCGCGTGATGGCCAGCACCGAGCGACCCTCCGGCGTGAGCGTCACCTCCAGACGACCATCCCTGTAGCCGGGCAGCAGCAGGGAGCTATTGCCCTCCACCGACCAGTAGAGCGTGGGCCGGGGATGGCCGGTGGCCTGGCACTCGAACAGCACTTCATCGCCGATCTCCACCAGTTGATTCTTGGGGCGTATAACGAACTTGGGCGGAGCTGTGGAGAACAGTGTGTGGGTGGGTGAAGTGTGTCCGGTTAGCTCTTGAGTCAATCCGTTGCTTTCAGGCAATTAACTTACCGTGAACGGTGAGGATGCCCGTGGCCGTAATTGAGCCGACCGCATTGTCCGCCTCGCAACTGTACTCGCCCATGTCCTCCAGCGTGACGTCGTCCAGCTTCAGACTTCGGTCCTCAAGTACGTGCACACGACCTGAACATACACAGACACAGAGACAGAGAGAGAGAGTGTGGTGTGGTGTGTGGGTTAGTCGTGGAGCTCATGTGTGAGTGTAAGAGTCGGAGAGAAAAACAAACTGAAACTTTCTGGGGGTTTCCGTACCCCCCCTTGCTACTTCGTTAGTAGTTCAAGTAGCGTAAAAATGGCCAGGGAACGAACTCAGCCAAATAACCGCAGCAAAGTAAGCCAAGCCAAGACAAGACAGACGATAGACGATAGACATAGATGTAGAAAACTCTCGGGCTCTCAGGCTCTCAGGGATGTGCTCAAACGGAGGCGACTCCGAGCACCTTTTGTGGTTTTTCTTACAATAAACAAAGACTGGGGTTGGGTTGGGTCTATCTCTCTCTGTGCTTTCTTTTTGGTTGGTTGAATGCGAAATAGGTTTTAAATGTGGCATAGCAGCCAGGCAGCGCCCCTCCCCCCAAACTCTGGCTTCAGTTCTTTTCCTGGCCACTGTGCCAATTGTTTGCTTAACAAAAGTTTAGGACAACAACCGAGGCCGAGGCCAGGCGACCAGGAGACTGCCTCTCTCCGTGTGTGTGTGTGTGTGTGTGTGGCATGTTTTATGCTATTTTTCTTTGAGGTCTTTAAAGAAGCGTAAACTAGCTGCTCTTAGGGGTTAGTTGCACTCCTTTTTGGGGCAGCGAGAGAGTCGGACAGGACAGGAGTTGACTGAATGACTGAATGAGTGGAGGAGTGGAGCAGTGGGAGGAGTCGGGGAGTCGGGGAGTCTCTGTCCCTGTCTGAAGGACAACATTGCAACAGTCGAGTGTTGTGCAAGCAAAATTGTTGATTGCTGCCAACAGAGATTGGCAATTAACGGAATTAAAAGTTACAGTTGTGTTTGCCCACAGCTAGAACGGGGGCGGTGGGGTGGTGGGGTGGTGGGGTGGTGGTGATGCCTCGGGGGCCACAGCCGCACAACCTCAAACCAACCCCCCCCCAACCAACCAACCAAGCGAAAACTAGCAACAAAAAGCTGTAGCTGGACTGTGGCGGTGCTGTAGGTGTTTACTACACTGAGAGAAATGCTTGGGGAGTTTGGGAGCGGAAAGAAAGCGATGGACAGGGTAGGGCCAGGGAATGTTTTAGTGTTCGTTTATTTGGGGTAAATTTCGCTCAGTGCATTTCCCTTGCTGCACTGCCCAATTGGCCAGCACGAACAGCCACAGGGCCAAAGCAACCGCATAAACTAACTTTTTGTTCTGCTTTCTATTCCTGGGCTGGGCTAAACAAAAAGCTTTAATTTCATTTGAGAATGGCCGCTCCTGGGGCGAGAGTATGTGTGGAATAACTGGTAACGGGCAGCAACGGGCCCGCCGGAGAGCATTTCCGGTTAATTGAACCCTGGGTGGCGGTACTTACGCAGAGGCATATTGCCGCCGGAGGCGGTGCGCCGCCAAAGGACATCCGGCAGGGGATCGCCGCCAATGCGGCACTGAAACACCACGGAGCTGCCCACGACAGCCGTTTGGTTCTGCGGTCCACGAATGAGAAATGGCCGAACTGCAAAGGATGGAGAATAAGATTGATATGAAGATGAAGATGAAGATGCACGGGGAATACAAATGGATGTATTTCTGGGGGAGCTCTGCTTTACGTACCATGAACCTTGAGGAAAGCCGTGGCCGACTCCCGGGTGCCCACCACATTCTTCACCACACACTGGTAGCGGCCATCGTCCGACTGTCGGGAGTCCTGAATCGCCAGATTGCCACCATCGACAATGCGAATCCGCTTGTTGCCGGCACTCAGATTGAGGGTCTGTCCGTTCTTGCGCCAGGAGATTTGCGGCTCCGGCGAGCCACGCGGGGCACCGCATTCCATCAGGGCCACTTCGCCCTGGGCCACTCGAGTATTTTGCGGCTCCAAGCGGAATTCATCGCGAAGAACTATGAGAGAAAGGGAAAAGGAAAAAGAGAAACGTCAATGTGCTGGATGGGTAGATGGGTGAAGGAGGAGGAGTCCTGCCCTGGAGTAAGAGCTTTGATTGATTCAATATTAATAACTGTCAGGTGAACGTCAGGTCCTGGGACTTGGCTATGCGCTCCTTCATATTTTATAAGCCATCCACCGTCCGACCTGCCCGCCCAACCCCCGCTCAATATGCCAATAAAAAGCTTGGTAATGATGCCCAGGTTTAAGGCTTTGAGCGGACACAACTCAACTTGGCTACAGCCAACAGAAATATTAATAAGCTTTGGCATTTGCAATGCGTATTTTTATTTTATTTATTCGCATTTTCCACCGGCTCTGCCACTGGCTCTCGTATCTGCTGCCGGGCTTCGCTTTTATTGAGGGGAAAATGCAAAATGCGAAAATGTACAAAATGTAAAATGCAAAATGCACTTCAATAAACGCATAATGCGCTCCACTGAACGCCAAAGGCAAAAACGTACACCATAAAAAAAAAATATTAAAAAAAATAACACTCAATGGCAGCGAGCATCTGACTTGGCCAGGCTAAGGAGGTGCATCTGCACTGCAGCCCCAATCAAATTGGTCAAGTTTTATGGCTTTAAACATGACTGAAATTCAATCGAAATCCTCCATTCCCCCCCCATTATGCTTTTGACCAATTAATTAATCCGGACTACTCCTCTAACGCCACTCAAATCGGGCGAAGAACTCTCATGAGTGTGGTATTGTGTGGTGTGGTGGCTATCGATTACGGAACTCGGTGCAGTTCTGCGATTTCGCTTTATTTTATTAATTAGAAAGCCAAAGTTGGCCGCGGGCAGCGAACGGGCAGCTGCATTCGCATTGGGGTTACATTTTGCGAAATGCAACCCTCCAATTAGCTGAAATTTAGCTTGGCTTAGGCGATCCATCAAAGTCGTTCTCGACCCATCCATCAGCCAGGAACAAGAATTCTTGAATTGTTGCCGTTTTGGGGTGATTTTCGTGTGGATAACCCCTAAGATTAACCCCTCAAAATATTTGAATAAAATGCACTTTTATTTATAGTGGAACTTTTGATTGATACCGCTAGCAGATACTGGCATTTGTATGGCCCAAACAAACACAGAAATAAATTAAATAATCAAAATAATCTTTGAAATTAAAAAAAAGGATGCTTGAAACAATTGTTTTCATTGCCAATATCGTACTTCCAATAAAGTTACAATTTAAGTATGTATTTCCGTTTGATAATACTTACATGCCACTTGCAATGTTGCATTCCTGGAGCGTGCCACACCGAACTCGTTCTTCGCCTGGCACCAATATGTGCCCGCATCGCTCTCCCTTCGTGAGTGTATGACCTTTTGGTGGATGAGAAATGGGAGATTATTAGATACAAGAGTTAAAAGATTTAAGTAGTTTTTGGGGACCAGGCCGGACCGGACCCAGCCACGTGTCAGATCAAAAAGTCTCAAAATTGCTCATCCGAAATCAAATAAAAGTAAAACGTGCCTCAGACCCCCAAACTGTACCTCTTCCTGTTCGTTGTCCAGTCTGCGTATACGCAATTTAATTTAATTAAAAAATACATTCAAACATACTCCAGCAAACCCAATGGGGGCTTGGGGTTCTATGTGTGTGTGCGCCTTAATCACTTGGCCACTTCACTTTTAATTGGCAACAAAGACGTACGTACTCATGGGGAAGGGTTTGGAGTTGGCGGTGATGGGGTTGACTTTTGGGGTAGCCCGAAAAAGATAATCAAAATAAATTGCTGGACTTGAGATCAACTCTAATTTGAGTGTGGAATGATTTAAGTGCGTCTGCTGCTCGACACTGTTCTAATTTATAAATATTTTAAATTCACGATTCACTCGTCCATTAATAATTTGTTGTAAAAAAGAAAACACAAACACAAGAATAAAAAATGTATTGCATTTAATGAAAATTTCATGGGGAACGAGTAGGAATTTAATATAAACAGAGTTCGAGGATATTGCAATGTCTGATGCCACACCCTTTACCATTTTGGTGGTGGGGTTGGGGTTGGGGTTCGGGTTTCCTGAGAAGGAGTCTCGTTAGCAGAAATTGCGAAATGTGCACGCACGAAATGATATTGGGGGGTCGGAGGGCGGCGGCTAGGCTGCGTTTCTGACGTCTAACCCCCCAAAGCAGCAGCAGCAAAAAACAACATCTTTTGTTTGTTCATCAGGTTGTTTTCCCTATCGACTGGAGAATGCAACCAGACGGAAGCCCGTAAAATAATATCGGACTAAAGATACACCGCCGCACAGAACACACAAAAAACAAAAGAAAAAACGAGAACTGTTTATGCACAAATGTTGCGTTTCACATGAGGCAGGCGGCAGGAGGCAGGAGGCAGAAGGGAACTGAATGATTGGCATGGGTTCCCAGGAACCCAATAAAGGAATTGCAACTCCTTCTTCTGCATGGCCTGCGCCTGTGTGCCTCGTGCAACGACAGCTGTAAAACCCATAATGATAGAGGAGTCGGAGTCGGAGTCGCAGTCCGATGCGTACCTTGAGAAAGAATAAGCCACCCGCGGGCAGCATCATGCGATGGGAGCCCGCATCCGTCGTCTTCAGTTCGCGTCCATCCTTATACCATTGTATGGTTGGTGTTGGATTGCCTTCGGCTTTGCAATTAAACGTAAATGGATCATTTTTTGGCACCGTCGTGTCCATGGGATGCTCAATGATGCGTGGATTTTCACCTGGAAATAAAGGAAACGTGTTTTTTTGTTATTTCTTTTACAATGGAAGTCGTAAGAAAAGGGTAACGTAAAAGGGAAATCTTGTCTTTGGAGTAACCCTACACTCCAGACACAGCCACTTGAGATGAGTGCGAGAGCACCCCCGGATCCTAGGAGTGTTCTAATATTTCATGCTCAAGAGCATGAGAGCCGAGAACCCACAGGGAGGATCTCTCTAACTCTAACTCAATCATCGAGCCGGCACATGTGTGTGTGTGATCTAAGGATCTCTGGGGATTTGCCGAAAAAGAAATTTATCTCCTGACGGCCAAACAAGTTTTGTCACTTAATGCGGCGGCAATTAAGAGGCCATTAATGGGAGAGTGGGGCTGGGATAGGACCCCACCCGAAGGGCAGGCAAAATCCAAGCAGAAATTATGTTAAGCAGCAACAAAATTTCACTTGAGGCTCCTCTCAAATTCAATTAACTTCATGAAAATATTTGTACGCCCAGAGCAGGGCAGCGCAGAGAAGAGCAAAGAGGAGAGAGTAGAGTCGAGTCAAGGCGAACCTAACTAAAGACTAAACATAAATTTGTGTCTGTCGATAAGGATGAGAGACAAAGGACAACGCTAGATAAACTTTATTAAAAGCAGCACCAGCAGCAGGACCCAGAGAGAATGAAGCACCAGAACAAATGGAACCAAACAGTTGGGAACAGCTGAAATGTAATTACGAAAAGCGCTTAAAGGTGAAAAATGGGGAAAATGTGTGTGTGAGCGAGAAATGAAATGGAAGTGCAGGGGAGGAAGCTCCAACAGGGAATCGAGAATACAGAATCCAGAATCGAGAGGTGAGTGGACACATTGCAGTGGACTGGGGCGGCTGGGCTGTGGGTGTGACTCGGTTGTGGTGTGATGGAGCCAGGTTAGTAACATCATTCAGCCGGAAATTAAGTTTTCCAGATTTATTGAAAGCGGATAGTAATGAGAGCTCTCAGTGGATGAGAGGAAGGACAGAGATGGAGATGCGAAAAGTCACTGAATAAATCACAGGAGTTGGGAGATAGATATGGTAGATTTTTAATTACAAATGTAGTAATATCTAAGCAGAACTGCTGGAAATTCTCACACTTTTAAAGAGTTCTTTTATCAGTGAATCCATTACCATAATATCTTCCAAATAACTGTTACATGAGCTGCTCTGATGTTGTCACTCCCCAAAAGTGTGACCTTTATCCCATTCGAAATGCGAAGAGTATGCAAATGGAATTACATCGTGACATCGTTATCACAGAGGAAGATCACCATTCAGTGATTTTGGTGATTTCTGATTCATGCCAGCACCCAAAATGATGACATTTGTCAATTGTGTTTTACCAAAAGACCGAAACAGATACTGGCAGCAAAAAAAAAAGAGAAAGAGGACAATGGGACGTACTCGTTTTGTTGTTGACTGTACCTCGGACATTTGTCAACTGTTGTTGCTGCTGTGCTTTTGATGTTGTTGCTGCTGCTGTACTTTTGTAATTGCCACCAAAGCCAGCAGTCTTTTGTTGTGTGCCGAATAGTAAGAGAGAGAGTGGGAGGAGGAGGAGGACAGAAAGCGCCACTGAGCCATTGTCTGATTTTGGCCATGTCCGAGATGGCATTATGCCTGCTTCCCTTTTGTTGCTGTTGTCATGGTCACACTCTCTTGTGTGTGCTAATTTAAATGACGAAATACTTGAATAGTTCCACAGTCATGACGACGCACTGCTTATTAAAAAGGGTTACTCAGATGCACTAAAAGGAGGTCTTCATCTTCATCATCAACATGAAGAAAAAAACTTGCTTCTATCTCTCGTTATTTTGTGGAAACCACCTGAAAGAATTTTTCTTTGCCCACTAACAAAATATTTAATTAAGCAAAAATCTGTTGGACGGAGAATAAACATTTCCACATAAAGCAAACGAAAAAGCACACGGAAAAGCCAAGAGAATGAAAGAGTGAGAAGGGAACTTCGATAAGCCAGCAGGCAGGGAAAGCAGGCAGTGCAGTCAAAACCCCAAAGGGAAAAACAAATCAGGTAAAATGAAATATGTAAACTTTGCTGCAAGAATTTTCCACACGCACAGAAGCACACAGAGAGAGAGAGAGAGAGCCGGAAAAGTTGGAGTTTTTTTTTCCATATTAAGTAATATGTAAAAATGCAAAAACAAAGGGGAATGAGCAGCGGATGAGGAAGCAGTTCGACAGAGGCGACTCTCAGGAATAATGCTGGTTTCGCTCGTATGACACTAGCTGATTTATAACAAACATGTGCCCAAAGTTCGTACCAGCACTTACTTGCATTTCAGTAAAGCAGCCGATTGATTGATTCGATTGAAACCAAAATTTATTTGCTATTTATAATTTGCAATCAAACTATTTAACCTCTGCCTAGTGTCACACAATCATGCATTTCTCCTCTCTCTCTTCAGCACTTAATTACGCTCATTTGGCATGTGCTCTTCATTTGTGTGTTGTGTGCGTGTCATACCTGCGTGTGTGTGTGTGGGGTGTTTGTGGCAATTTATGCATGCATTTCGTGTAAGCAAAGAGTAAAAGCGCATGGAGAGAGGGAAATGTTAAAGAAGTCTTGAGTAAATAAACAGCAACGGCAGCGCAGTAGCAGTAGCAGCAGCAGCAGCAAAAAGTGCTGCTGGCGTTGAAAGCATGCAAGCAGTGCACCTAAGCAAACATACATGCTTATTGCGGGAGCCAGAGCTCCTAAGAGAAGAAGAGAGTGCAGAACTCATAATGCACCCACTAACGTGTGTTGCCAGGTGGTAGATGAAGGGGAAGAAGGCAGCTTGCGGGAGAACAACAATAATAACAGGAAATGCATTTCTGTTGTTGTTCTTGCTGTTAAGAAATCTGTTGGAGTTGCTGCTGCTCGCTCTCACTCACTCTCTCTCTCTCAGTGTTCTCTTATCGCATTATACCCTTTGTAGAGAGTCGTGTTAGTTTGGAAAGATTCTGACAATACCGAGAAGGCTAAACTTGCGATATTGTGGAGCGAAGTCTTGATCTGCATTAATAGGTGCGGGGATATATCCAAAATATGTATCTACATATTTACATATATATGTAACTCATATAAATCTACCATGGAAGGGTATCTAATGCTTCGCCCTCTTAAGACAAGCTTCGTTTCTTGTTTCTCTTGCATTGCTGTTGTTGCTTTTGTTGTTCCTTATGCTGTATGTTTGTCTAACATAAGCATAAACGAAATTGTGTAGTCCAGAAGCAACAACAATAACATCTGCCACTGCTGTGCTGTCGATGCTTGCCTTGCCACTACTTCTCTGGATGCCACTGTGAATGTAGTGGGATGCTGAGGCTGTTGCATTTCTGCTAATTTGGTGTTGTCGTTGTTTGACTTTGGGAGCCCGGTAGGTGCTAAAAGAGGGACTCGAAGTTCTCAGCATCTCAGCATCTTATGCCAATATGCATCATTATTAGCATGTCAATAACAACAGCACACACACACAAAAACACACAGCACACAGTGGCGGAAAACAATAAGAAATAAATGAGTGAGACAAAATTTCGACCATCAAATACCCTGGAAGTGTCCAGCCACTGCATTTCTTCTTCCGACTGCAGCAATCAATGCCTGTCTGAGTGTTACATACAGCTGGACAAATACGGTATACCCCACCAGTAACGGGTATAAAAATCACAACTTTCCCGAAAACTGACGGCAACATTAAACGTGTAACCTGGAGGCGGCGGTGCTGTACGATGCTAGCTGCTCAAAATGCATATGCAAATAACTTGGGCAATTTCTCTTCCTCTGACTTTGCACACACACACACACACACACACACACACACACACACATGTATGCGTATGCGTATACCCTCCCCCCCCCATGTTGTTATCGCACCCACAAGACAGACTTGTAATCAAACAACATACGAGATATGGCCACAACTAAGTGCGTGGGGGTGGACACTGATGGTGGACAGATGGGGATGCAGACAGGTGCAGTTAGCTTGAAAACCATCATCATGTATGCTAAATGTCTTTAGGTAATTGAATATACATAAATGTGTACGAAACTGTGGGAGAGACATGCTGGAATGGACAGTCACAGAATAGGTACTGCCCAAGGTGATGTCTGATTGAGAGGAGTGTACTTTGCGAGAGATTTCTATGCATTACATGCTTAATCCTTATAACTTCCATTGCAGCTCAATCCTGTCAAATCCATATTCATCACATACCAAATTTAAGTTTCTTTCAATCTTAATTTTTACTTTGATTTTGCCTATTTCTATTTATATCTATCGTTTCTATCCTTTCAATCCTTTCAAACCGATTTCCATTAACCAAATTATTCAATTCCATTCAAATCTTTTACTGATTTAAATCTTGCTCTCTTCAGAAAGTAAAAGTTTTCCCTCTTTTCCTACTTTTTATATTTTTTGTTGCCTGTTCCGAAAATGTCAAATTGTGGCAGTCGGAGAGTTCTGCCACTTTTTGTTGCCACATTTTTCTATTTTTCCCCCCATTTATAACGATGGGGAAAGCGACAGGTCGGAAAGCTCTCACTTCAAGGGCTGTGTGAAGTAACTGTGACGCTGGGCCCGGAAAGGGGGGCGGTGGACTGTTAAAAAATTAACTGAGCTTGAGCTGTTGTTGTTGTTGCTCCAGTGCCATTTTGATTTTCGTTGTGCTCTTTTATTCCTGTTCTCGTTTTGCTATACCATTCCTATTTCGGCTCTCTAGCACTGCTGTAGTGATGGTCTTCGTATACCCTAGAAAATATCCTCGATTGTTTCACCTATAATATTAATATCTTATTGCGTTGATTATTTAAACATTATCCACCTAAATTACCAAATTTATAGCAATCGGATTATTACTACAGTGACATAATAAAACTGATAAATAAATCGCAAAAGCAGGCATCACAAAGTCCAAAGATTGACTCTTTAACCTCCCCCCGACTGGTTGTTATTGCAATGGCTCAACATGGCAACGGAAAAACT